ACGAATCCTCGATCTTTGTCTAGATTCCGAGTGAGCCGTAGGCGCATGCCGACTTCCACGAGAATTCTTTCCTGGCCGGAGCTGACGTCGGCGGGGTAGCCGGCGCCGGTTGTGAGCGCAGCAGCGGCTTGTGGATAGTCCAACTTGAGGCACTCTATGTTCATTCGATATGCTCCTGGATTTGTCACGGTCAGGAACGTGAATGTCTGTCCACTTTCGATCTCGAAAGCTCGAGCTCGCCGGGCAGCTAGATCTGGCTGCTTGGGAAAGATTCGATTGCGAAAGAAATGCTCCAAAGTTGCCCGAGGGGGTTGTGTCGTGCGAACGAGACCCAGGAACTCCAGCATGACAGGGTCGGTGGATCGGGCTGCTTCGTGGGGTTGGAGCTCCACTGTTGGCAGCAAGGCTTTGGCAGTTTGTCGCTCCAGGTCCAATTGCAATTGCGGCGGCCCTGTGATGGGCTGCAACTGTTGGAAATCCCCAACGAACACCACGAAGGGCTGCGGGTGCAAGTCCGCCAAGGCCGTCTGAAGAAGTCTCCAGACATGGGCGTCGATCTGCGAGACCTCATCAAAGATAATAAGGTCATAGCTTCGCAATCTTCCTGGGGGCACGTAGTCTTGATCTGCTTTTCGCGTGACCTTGAAGCTGGCATGGAGTGTTTCCATTGTGAGGTTCGGGGAAGCCGCAAGCCGGGTTCGATAGAGCGAAACCAGCAAACCAATAGGTCCAGCTATCAATACTTTGCAGCCATCCTCGAGGGCCTGCTGAGCCACGGCGATGATGACCTCTGTTTTGCCTGTTCCGGGCCCGCCCTTGACATGCAGCAAGCGTTTGTCGACGTCAACGTCGTTGGCATCCTGGATGTTTGTGCCCTGAGCGATGGCATGCAGCACTTCCTGCTGCTCCTTCGACCAGACTCGCTGCGGCAACTGGAATATGCGCCGGGCACTCCACGTTCCGGGGTCTTCTTGCTTGCGGTAGACTCGCTGCAGTAAAAGTGCAGAGGCATTGACCCGGGCTTTGAAGGTTGCAATGCGATCTGCGGTGAGTCCCCGGATGACGAGGTCTTGTTCGACAGCCACAAGGAGCTTAGCGACGTCGGGAGCAAAGTCGCTGCTGTTGGGGTTGGTCTGAAAGTCGTCTAAACAGAGCACGGCCTTGAGATGCTGACAGCCTTGCGGCGCCTCGAAGCTGTTTCGGCGCTTCTGCTCCAGAGCGAATCCTTGGGGATAGGTCAGGCCGTCATTCGGGCACAACCGTCGCTCGTCCATGCCCACTAGGAAGGTTGCGGCCCACGCGCCCAGGAAGATGTCCAGCAGCTCGAAAGGAAACTGGATGGCAACTCCAACATCCTTGTTTCTCGTCTTATTGGTGGTCCGCGCTGTGACTTTGCAAGCATTCCCGGCAGACGGCTCGATGCGATGGTCTCGAAGCCAAGCAAGATAACAGTAGCCAGAGTAGTTGCCTTTCCGAAGACCATTCTGAAAGGCGTTGTATGCGGCACGGCTCAGATTTGTTGCCGCAGACCCTGGGATTGGAGCATAGTAATTGCAGCCGACAAAAGAATGGCGGACCATGCTCAAGCCCGCAAATTCCAGTGCAATCTCCTGCTCTAGCGGAGCCTTCTTGCAAAGCAAGCGGTATGTAGTTCTCCAGGTCGTGTTTGCTGACAGGACGGGACCGGAAGCTTCTGCGGCCTTGAAGGAGAGAGCGTCCGATGCTTTGTGCACATAGCCCATGACGTAGCGCATGAGAATGTGCCGGCCGTCGGCTGCTTGCACGTCGATGCGGCAATTGAACAAATTTTCCAGGTGTGTGACGAGAGCCGAGTTATGTGGCTTGTTGGTGCGACCTGACAAGTCCTGACACGTGACGCCTGGCAGCAAATCAACCCAGAGCACCAAGTGAGCGTGGACCGTTCCGCGGGACTGAAACTCATACCGAAAGGACCATTGCCGCATGGCAGCAAGCCCAAGTCCGTGGAGATGAGGTCCTTGCTTGAGAAGGTACTTCTGCAGGACTACGTCCAAGACGTGGTAGATGTGGCGAGTGAGGATCGTCTGTTGCTTGGACAAGCTGTCTGCAAAGAAGAGCCCTTCCTGCAACGGGAACGTCCATTCTGCAGGAGCAATCGTTACGAAGATATTGGGCATGGCTTTGTCCATGCATTGATGACGCTCGAACGCGAGGCGGCAGATGTCCTCCATCTTGTGGACTTGATTGTGCCAATACGTGTCGAACATACCCATCTCCGATGCGAGCGCCTCGGGGGCCATATTCTTGGACGCTGCTAAACTGGCGACTGTCGAAATCGTGCGGGCCATGGCCACATCATACAGGAGGCACTGCAACTTGAAGTCGTTGACGTAGCTGACACATCGCGAAGTGGACTTGTGGTCCCAGCTGGCACGCAAGCTTGGCTTGGAGGTGCTCTTGATGATGCCCAGCTCCTTGAGGCGAACACTGAGGTCCGTGTCACCGTAGCTGGCGTATGGGTATAACCATGGTCTGATGGCAACCTCGATGCCGGGTCTGTTGAGCAGCAAGTCCGCGGTGGCAAGGCGGCGCCAGCTTGAGTCCTCGGCGGCATGATTGGAACACAAGCGTGCCTGAATTTCCACGAACTCTTTGTAGGTGGCATTGTTGTCTAACAGCCACGCGAAGGCCGCTGCTGCTGGCTTGCTGCGAGCGACGTCGCACATGGGTCGTGCCTTCCACTCTGCGCGAACAACGCTGCTTTTTTTCAAGCTGGTGATGTCACTTTGGCCCCCCCGTACAGTCTTATAATTGACATAGAGCTCGACTACCGACAACGTTTCCAAGTCTTCCATCGTCAAAGCGGTGGCTAGGTCCTCGGAGTCCAGGGCTGCCAGAAGTTCGTCCCAGTCGCTTCGTCGAGGAGTGACATAGGCCATGAGCTTTCTCTTGGGAGAGACTTCGCCGGGCATCAGCAGAGATTTCGCTGGTGGGTCACAGTCTGGCTTGCAATCAAGACAGGCACTCAGACTTCGCGACGAGAGTGTGTGCGCACGGTGTCTTCCACACTTGCTGCAGAAAGTCCAGGATTGCGACTGCACCCATTCTGCTGCCGCCGTGGTCGGCGCCGGCAAAGCTCGAGGCGACGGCGGTTGCTGAAATGGCCTGAAGTACATTTCTTTTTCGGTTGCCCAAGATGATGACTTGGTTGTGGCTGCGCGTCGGTAGTTCGGTCTGCCCCCGGCCGCATGGCGGTACTGCACTGTGCTTCTGGCCATGTAGCGCTCAGACGTCTTATCCTTGGTGGTGAAGCCTGGAATCTGTGTTGTCAGTTGCTTCAATGCTTCCGGGACGGTCTTGGCAGCCTTGAGAATGTCATCGATCTGCCGCTGCTCGTCAGCTGTGTAGGCACTTGCGCGATTTTTCTTCAACAAACTTGGCTGGCGGCCGCCGCAACCTAGGCGCTTCGTGCCGCTTGGCATGGTCGCCTCTTGGCCTGTGACGAGGCGGGAATCGCGAGGCTTTCCGCCGCTCAAGGATGGCTGCATGCTTTCCTTTTGCACGGTGTTGCCGGCAGTCGAGGCTGGCTCCGCGCTGTCGTACTGTATGATGACGTCCGAGTCGCTGTCGGTGCCGTCGACCTCAAGTACGGGTACCTGAACGGGTTCATCCGGACGAGCAGCTGCAGGCAGAGCAACATAGAAGACCACGTAAACCTTTTCGTCGGGCAAGGAGACGAAGTCGCCCACTAGATCTTGCGGCACGTGGCTCACGCTGGTGTCGCTGATCCTCAGGAAGCCGGAACCATGCCGAATGTAGGCCACATAGTGACCAGCATTAGCTGACCGTCCAATGTGAGTGATGAGAGCCTGTAGGCGGTAGCTTTGGCCGGGCATGTCTAAGACGTCATTGCAGTGGACTTTGTGGCCCACGACGTCGTGCAGGGTCCACCGCTTGAGGAGTAGCTGCAGCACTGGGGGCCACTCCGGGATGATGTTGAACCCCACAGGTTCGTCGAGAGCCCGCTCCGCACGCATGCACTCTGCATTTTCACACGACCACTCGGTGAAGTCCTGTCGGATCTGGGTCCGCTGCAAGTAGTGCGTCATGGCTTCTTGCACCGATCTCATGGGAGTGTCCTCGCGCACTGAGATTTGCAGCGAAAGGAATTCTTCAGGCTGCGAGGTGCGTTCGTACCCGCAATGCCGACAACGCAGCAGCGGTACTTCAAGCCCGCGAAGAGAGGGGTGTAGGGCTGGGCACTCGGCCAGCAGCAGGACCAAGAATTCGGCGGCATCCTCCTGCCTGCCGTGGTAGTAGACAGCTGTTAGCTCTCGCGGCACAATGCGGGCATCATGCGAATCCAGCTTGGCAAGAATTGCTTGCAAGGCATGCTCCTTCTCCGATGTGCCAGCAGCAATGGCTTCCCGCAGGGCCGGAACAGCCGCGAGGCACTGGACCGATGCGTTGATAAAGCACGAGTTGCCCAAGTTCGCGAGACCGACAGGCAACGCCATTATGCGAGCAGGCGAATGAGATGACGGAGGCTTGTGTTGCTGAATCCAAGAAGCTGCTAGGCCGCGCGCAAACCAGCAAACGACACTAGACACATGGATTCCAGCGAGAACACATCCTGCCCATGGGACATGTGGAAGCTACGTCTTGCTGGACCACTCAAGAGCAGCTATGCAACGACAACTGGCACGCGACATATCTGTGTCTTCAAGATTTGCATCACAGGAGTGCGGAGACTTCAAAATCGAAAGATGCCCAAGGCAAACGAATCGCGCAGGGCAGTCCGAGAGCTCTGAACTCAACATCTGCTCTGCCGGACTCATGCCAGAGCCCTTGAAAGAAGCCTTGAATCAGAACGACAAGTAGTGCTTGGAATAGTGAAAAGCCGCCGGATTGTAAAACCAGAGTACAACAAAAAGACTTGCTGCTGAGTCAGAGAGCTACCTAGGTCAGTCGAATGCTTTGACGATCAATAGCAAGGCTCGCTATCCCGCCGACTCTCAAACCTAGTTGCCTTCGGCTTTGCGAGGTCCACGACGAGGTCGATTGGGGTTCTTGCGTTGGCGTGCCCGCGTCATTCGCAGCCGAAGTTCCTTCGCCACGGCCTCGTCCTTGTGCTTGATGCGATCCAGCGCTATGTCAGCTTGTGCTTCGGTGAGCTGGAGCAACAAATGCGTGAGGCGGCCGTTGCCGTTCTGGTGCAAGGAGGCGACCTTGTTGATGTTGCAGAGGTCGCAGAGTCCGTCGGGTCCTGCGGCGGCGGGCAGTCCATCCACACCCATGCCGCAGACATCTTGCACACCTCGGCAGGAACCATATCCTTTGTAGTCGCCACGGACTCCGGGAGGAAGACGCTCGGGACCTTTGCGGCGGCGAGCTCGCTGCATGCGCACGCAAATCCTCCGCCACGTCCGCATCGACTTCGGCAATGCGGGCGAGGGCAAGGTCAGCTTCCGTCGATGCGAGTTGTAATAAGAGATGCGTTAGCCGACCTTCACCTTCCTGATGCAAGAGAACAATGTCATCTAGGTTGCATAAGTCGCAGAGACCGCTGGGTCCTGCTGGGGCTGCAGCCCCGCGTATGCCCATGACGCATGGCATGTCCAAGCCTCGGCAGCTGCCGTGGCCTTCGTGTGGAGCCCACTTGGCCTGCAGCCAAGCGTTCACGGGCACAGTTGGCTCCGGCTCCTTCACCCTCTTGGCCGGTCGGTCTGTCTTGGGCGTGGTCTTGACGCGAAGTCGTTCATGGTCTGTGCTCTCGTGCTCGACGTGGGCCACAGTCTTGATGCGGTCTTTCTTTTCCAAGGCCTTGGAAGAGTGCTCCGTGACGTTTTTGTTCTTCAAGGACAAAGTCGACTCCTTCACTTTCTTGGCTGCACGGTCTGTCTTGGGCGTGGTCTTGACGCGAAGTCGTTGATGGTCTGTGCTCTCATGCTTGATGTGGGCCACACTCTCGCGGGGTTTCTTGTCCAAGGGCTTGGAGGAGTGCTCCGCGACGTTGTTGTCCATCTCGGAGTCGCTGGCCAGATCGATGGGTTCGCTATGCGCTGTAAGCTTCCACATCGTGATTGCTAGGCTACCTCGAGCTTGAGTTACTGGCGCGACTAGCAAAACGCCGCGCAGCTGTCACTAGACACGAACAGAGGCACTCGAAGCAGTGTCTCCCTTCACAGCGGCAGAGAAAAGCTGAGAGGGCTGCCTAAGGTTTTCAGACATGTTGCAAACAAAGTCATGACAGTTTGCTACTGTGCAGGCACTTCGGCTCAGCTGGCAGCGCGACTTACGCGCGCGTCCAGTTGCTGTTGTCTGGGCCGAAGCGCGAAGCAAGAATCTTGAAAGCGACATTGCAGTCCGAGAGTCTCCAACTCAACATCTGCATTGCCGCAAGGCTCATGTCTCTGCTTAGTCAAACAAGCCCGTGGCATCTGTGCTGCTGCGGGCAGTCTGCTGCGGCTCGGCCGGCTTCGTGAGACGAGCTTTCATGCACTCACACATGTCCTCGAGACTCAAAGGCTTGCAATGCACGCAGGCCCGGGCTACCATCTCCGCTGTATGGGCGGTGTAATACGAATTGCTACCCGAGAGAACATACAAAGCTCCGCGGAAGGCGGACTTGTCTTGGGAGAGCCACGCATGAAATTTCTTCGTGGCGTCCAACACCTGGGCTTCCGTGTAGGCGTGGACGGAGCTTGTCCCGGTGGTTTTCTGGCGCTTAGCCTCGCGAAAACTGCCTGTGTCTCTGTCCTGCTTCTGCGAGCATCGACCGACGTTGAGCATGTCCAGAATCGGCTTGAGGTGCTCCGTTTCCTGGATGATCTTTGCATGCAACTCGGGACGAAGAAGCTTCTCCATGTCCGGGCTTTCCACATGTTTGATGGCTGCCTGCAGGGCCGCCGCTGTGGTGGAGATCCCAGCGCCTACACGCCACTTGTCGGCGACTTTGTCGGCACACAGAAGACTGTGGTAGCTGGCCTTCTTGTTGCCATCCGAAGCCGCTTTCCACAGTTGCTGTAAGGACATGGAGTCGAGTGCGCTTTCTCCGAACGGTTCCAGGAGCTGCGCTGCGACTGAGTCGTACGGGTAGAGCTTGGTTCGGCGCTCCGTAGCTGGCGCGGCTGCCGAAGCATCTGCAGACTCGAAGAGATTGGAGGCCATGATTCGAAGTGGAGCGAAGAGAAGACGAGGATGAGATCCGTGACTTGAAAGAGCACTGGCCAGGACGCGAACGCACAAGCATGAGTTGCTACCACGCTCAAGCTATACTGCAAAAAAAAACCTGCAACCTTCCACTGTTGAAAGCAGATAATGTTAGAAGCACTGTCTCCCTTCACAACGGCAGCGTCAAGCAACAGCAATGCTGGGAGAGCTGTGTAGGTTTTTTAGACATGTTGCAAACAAAGTCATGACAGTTTGCTACTTTGCAGGCAATTCGGCTCAGCTGGCAGCGCGACTTACGCGCGCGTCCAGTTGCTGTTGTCTGGGCCAAATAGCGAAGCAAGAATCTTGAAAGCGACATTGCAGTCCGAGAGTCTCCAACTCAACATCTGCATTGCCGCAAAGCTCAGGCCTGTTCTCAGTCAAACAAGCCCGTGGCATCTGTGCTGCTGTGGGCAGTCTGCTGAGGCTCGGCCGGC